TGAATTTCTTTTATATAATTAATATTTTAATTTAATTAAGAGTGTTTATTTTACAATCTTATAATTTAATATATATATATATATATCATATAAAATCAATATATGATAATTCAACTACAACATATTTATATTTAAATTTTTAATAAATTTTATATTATTTCTATTTCTACATATTTTTATTTTTTAAATGAACATAAAATAAAATTAAATAGTTAGAATTACTTTTAATTTTATGTTACTAATTCTTCTTTTAACTTAACTATTATTTTTAATATCAAAATGAGTATTTATTTTAAAGTGAAGTACCAATAAATCTTAAATAGTGATCTTATGAACTGTTTGGTCTTCTCTTTTTTTTTTTTTTTACGGATCCAAAAGTCTCATTCTAGTGTGAATTACATAAAAGGTTAATGTGAAATTTCTCATAATGTTGAAATTATGAAACGTAATATTTAAAATAAAAAACTCCTTAGTATAGTTTTTACAAACGTAACACTCCAAAAACATAACACTCTACTATAACATACTAAAAAATTCCTTAGTGTACTTTTCCCAAATGTAACACTCCAATCAATGTAATACTAAAAAATTCCTTAGTATACTTTTCTCAAACACAATAATGTAACATTCTAAAAAAACTCCTTAATGCACTTTTTTTAAACGGGGTGGTTTGGCATCCCCTAAATAATTCATCTTTTTATCTTTTTTCCATCACATCACTACTCTACTTTTCTGCACATTTTTTCAAAAAAGTCCAAAAGTGCACTTATTTAGATCATCCTTTAATGTAACATACTAAAAAATTCCTTAGTGTATTTTTCTGACACATAACAATGTAACATTCTAAAAAAACTCCTTAGTATATTTTTTCAAATATGATATTCCAATCAATGCAACACACAAAAACTCCTTAATGTAGTTTTTTCAAACATAACACTCTAATGTAACACTTCAATGTAATACCAGAAAACCACACTGACAGAAATGTAGATTTTCATGCTCGACAACCAACATTTTAGCCACCAATTCTTCTAAAAAGAATCTTCTATACCTCACATTTCCATTCTCGTCTCAAAAATAAATAAATAAAATTATAAAAATAAATCATAAAAAGTATTTACTTAAACTCAAATGACACCAAATTAAATAAATACAACTTTTCAAAATAAAAAGGACTAATTGGTTCATAAGAAAACTTTTAAGACTAAATGAATCAATATTTCCCTATATTGGATTTATGAGTAAATTTTTCTTTTATTTTTCTATAATTTAATATATATAATATATATTTATACAAAATTATTATATGATTATAATACTTTATAATACAATAGAAATAAAATTATCAAAATATACAAATAATTTACTTAAAATTAATATATATATATATATATATCTTCAAGTAATAATTTAATAAAAATATAGCGTCAATATTATCGAAAATAATAATTAAAACATATTTAATTTTGATTTTAAATTAAAATTAAAATTAAATTTTATTCTTTTAATAACACATTGTACCATTAAATATTTTTTTGGAATTTTTATTGATAAATCCCATTTAGAAGTATTTTAACACAAAAAGTCCATAAAGGAATTTTTTAACCCATTTAGTCCATAGTGTATAGATTTATTCCATAAAGTCATTTTTCTTGATTTACACTATTTTCTTGGACATTTATGCCTTATATAATTTTGATACCCTTATGAATATTTTTTGAACAGTTAGCAATTTTATGATGTGAACATTCATATTTTAAAATTCACATTGTAGGAATGTAAAATGGCCCGTGGCGGCCGAAACCAGCCGTGAGCCGGGCGGGCCCGGCCCGTGAATATGATATTCACATTGACATGTTAATTACACATTAATAGGAGTGTAAATTGGCTCGCGTCCGTGGCGGCGCGAAACCGCCGGCGGTCCGGGGGGTCGGTCCGGCGTTGACAATGTGAATATTCACATTGACGCGGCCATGGGCGGCCAAAAGCCCCCCACAGCCGGAGCGGGTCCGGCCGCACCGTTGACATGTGAATATTCACATTGACATGTTAACATTCACATTGATAGGAGTGTAAAATTAGCCGCGCCCGTGGTTGCCCGAAACTTGCCCACGGCCGTGGGGCGGCCGGGGCGGGTCGGCCCAGCCTGTTAACAATGTGATATATTCACATTGACATGTTACATTCACATTGATAAGAGTATAAATTGGCCAGGGACCCAGGGCGGGCCGACCCGGCCGTTGAAATGTGAATATTACATTGACATGTTACATTCACATTGATAAGAGTGTAAAATTGGCCGCAACTCGTGGGTGGCCGAAGTTCGACCGCAGCCCGACCCGTGACATTGTAAATATTCACATTAACATGTTAACATTAAAATTGATAGGAGTGTAAAATTTTCCTGCTGTCCAAAGCTTTTGCTCAGCTGCTCGGGGTAGGCCGGCCCGGCCCGTTGACAATGTGAATATTCACATTGACATGTAATATGCACATTGATAGGAAATGTAGAATTAGCCAGCGGCCCGTGGGCCGCCCGAAGCCTGCCCACGGCCCGGGGCAGGCTCGTCTGGGTCCGGGCCCGAGCCGGTGGGTCTAGCCTGGGTCGGGCTGACGGGCCTAGGCCTAGCCTCAGGCTTGGGTCGGGCTTGGTGGGCCTGGCCATTTTTTTTTTAATTCTTTTAATTTTTTCTACTAAAATTTTATTATTTTCTACCAAAAAAGACACTAGGCCTCGGCGCGGGCCGGCCTCGGACCGAGCCTTGAATGGGGCTTAACCGGGCCGATGGGCCGGGCCGGGCTTCAAAATGATGGCCTAGGCCTTAGCCTAGGGTCTCGGACTATGCTCAAGCCCGGGCTCAAACGAGCCTGGGCTCAAACGAGCCTTTATTGAGCCACGGGTGGACTTCGGGCAGCCTATGTTCTTTTTTACTATTCCATTAAGTCTTATTTGAGGTAAGAAGACCAAAATACCATTTTCAATTTATTATATTCTATTTAGTCCACATTATTTTCTTATGTTTCAATAAGTCCTATGGGAGACATAATTACCAAAATACCCATAATATGAATGTTCACATCGTCAATGTGAATGTTCATATCATCAATGCGTAGAGGCCCGGGCCGGCCCATATCAAGCCTTGTGGGTGTTTCGAAAAAAATCCGGCTCGGCCCGGCCCGGCCCACAGGCCAAAAATTAAGCCCAGGCCCTAGCCTTGGCACAAGGGTATTCGGGCTTTGGATGGGCTGATGGATCGAGCCTCGGGTCGGGCCGGTGGGCCTAGGCCTTAGCCTCGAGCTTAAGTCAGGCTTGGGCGGGCCTGACCATTTTTTTTTTAATTCTTTTTAATTTTTCTATTCAAAATTTATTATTTTTCCACAAAAAAAGACATTGCGCCTCGAGCGGGCTGTGCCTCGGACCGAGCCTTGAATGGGCCTTCAGCGGGTTGATGGGCCGGGCCAGGCTTCAAAGTGATGGCCTAGGCCCTAGCCTAGGGTCTCGGATATACTCGGGCCCGGACCCAAACGAGCTTGCCCCGGGTCGTGGGCGGGCTTCGGGCAATCCACGGGCAGCGGGCCAATTCCACATTCCTATCAATGTGCATGTTAACATGTCAATGTGAATATTCACATTGTCAACGGCCCGGGCTAGGCCTACCCCGGGCTGCGGCAAACTTCGGGCAGCGGAAAATTTTACACTCTATCAATGTTAATGTTAACAATGTCAATGTAAATATTCACATTGTCACGGGTCGGGCCAAGCTAGCCTCGGGCTACGCGTAGGGCTTCAGGCCGCCAACGGGCTATGGGCCAATTTTGTACTCTTATCACTGTGAATGTTAACATGTCAATGTGAATATTCACATTGTCAACGAGCCGGGTCGGGCCCGCCTCAGGCCGCTGGCCAATTTTATACTCTTATCAATGTGAATGTTAACATGTTAATGTGAATATTCCACATTGTCAACAGGGGGCCGGCGCCGCCCGGGCCACCCACGGGCCGTGGGTGGGTTTCGGGCAGCCACGAGACGCGGGCTAATTTTAACACTCCTATCAATGTAAATGTTAACATGTCAATGTGAATATTCACATTATCAACGGGCCGGGGGCCCCCGGGCCGCGGGGGGTTTTGCTGCCCATGAGCCGCGGGCTAATTTTGTACTCTTATCATTGTGAATGTTAATATGTCAATGTGAATATTCACATTGTCAACGGGCTGGACCGGGCTCGCCCCGGGCCGTCCATGGGCCGCGGGTGAGTTCCGCGCCGCCACGGGACGCGGGCCAATTTTACACGCCTATTAATGTGAATGTTAACATGTCAATGTGAATATTCACATTGTCAACGGGCCGGGCCCGTCCCGGCCCTACTCGAATTTTTTCAGGCACCCACGAGGATCGACATGGACCAGGCCCCTACACATTGACGATATGAACATTCATATTGACGGTGTGAACATTCACATTAAGGGTATTTTGGTAATTATATCATCCATATGACTTATTGAAACATAAGAAAATAATGTAAACTAAATGAAACATAAGTAGATGAAAATGGTATTTTGATCTTCTTATCTCAAATAGAACCTAATGGAATAGTCAAAAAGAATATAGGTTGGATGGAATAAAACTCTTAAAAAATAAATTTATCAAAAAAACTCCCTATTTTTTAAAAAAAACATAACAAGTACATTACACGAGTCAACTACTAATTAATAACATACATGAATAAAGGAGACACATTCAACTAATACAATTATAACAAATGAAATGTGATTATTGTCGCATTAGTTGGAAGGTACTAATCACAGAAGTTGAAAGCACCAATTTTCTTACTTTTCAATAATTAATTTTTTTTTTTAATTTATATAAATTATTTTTATTTCATAAATTGTGGATGTACAAACAACATCGAATACTGTCATCGTACCCATAAAAATTCCAACATAAATTTTCAAAGAAGCCATACCCATTTTCAAATTATATACATACATGAACAACTTAATAAATTATACCAAATATATGGCCATTATCATGTGTGGTATATCCATGGATTGAATTAATGCGTCACATGTATGTTTTATATCAATATATTGGTGTCACCAAAACATAACATTAACCCAAAAAAAAATAATAATAATATCAATCAATTAATTAATTAATTAATTTATCACAAGCATATGGTGAACAAGGCTCAGCAAAACCCAACCTTCTGTGTCTCCAGAAGCTGGCCTCCAGATTGAGCCTCTCTCCTCTTCTCGCTGGTTCCGATTTGCACCTTCTCAGCAGTATCACAGCTCCTCCTGTTTCCACTTCCCCAATATCACTTTCTTCTTTGAATTTCCCATTGATTGACCCTTCATTTTCCCGAGAAAATCTCAATTTTCCTTCTGATTCTCCACAATTCACTTCACTCTCCGATTCCTCTCTGTTTTCCATCTGCTGCAGGTGCTGCAGTGCTCTGTCTTCTTCACAACCTTCCTCTGTTTCCGATGCTGCCTCCAATGGCGAACCCCAAAATTGGCTCGCTAGCGACGAAGATCTGTACGGTGCAGATCTACATCTAGTCAACAACAATGCGTTTTTGGGCGGCGAAGATGAATTGAGAGCTGCTACTTTTACATGAGTTTCCAATTCGTCTTCATCATCACTTTCGTCTTCTATGTTCTTACTTTTTTGATTCGATTGGTCTCCGATTTCGCCAGTTCTGCAACACCCAAATCGGAAAACCAAATCCCATTTCTTCCGAAAAGGACGAAACGATTTGGGTTGGAGTTTTTTGAGGAAATGGTGAGAGAACAGAGTGTTTCGGAGCCACAAACAGGAACAGGGAGCTCTGTTGGAGCTCCTTTGAACGGCGAGTCAGTGAACGGACTCGGACTTGGCCGATGCAAGTGACTTTAGGGGAAGAAGGTTCTTGTTGGGATTCAATCACTGTTGTGTTCTTCTTGCGGATGAACATTGGGCTCGACCGAGACCTTCCTCTGCTTCTGCTTCCCGGATTAGTTCTCAGAAATTTCATCATCAATGGCGGTGGAAACTTCTCTGTCCTGCTCGGACTCGATATGGGTTTTGTCGAAATCATCATATCTCTATATCTATATATGTGTGTGTGTTTGTGTGTAGAAGCTGTACCTGTATCAGTTTCTCTTCTCTTTTATCTCTCTGGTCTGGTCTGGTCTGGTCTGGTCGTGTTACTTGATATTTTGAGAAGATAAATTACACACCCTTTGTGACTTTCTCTCCTCGTTCTTTCTATCCCTGTTTATATTTCTTGGGTTTCTTGCTGTTCCGGAATATTTTGACTAGTGGGAAACACTACTTACTGTGTATACACCGTATGCATTTTTATATTTAAAAATAATAATATAATTTTAATTTTTTAAATTATAGTTGAAAAAAATGTTATAATTAAATATAATATAATACATAATTAAAAAAATTATGAATTATAACTAAAATAATTGCATAATTAAAGAAAAAAAATGAACCATAACTAAAAAAGAAAATGATATAATTAAATGTAAATATAATACATTCTTTGAATGGGGAGTGTATATTAGAATTGGATTTGGAGTGGCCGTTGTGCCTTTGAGTAGCTACTGCATAGAGCACAACAGCCACTGCTATATAGCGAAATGGGCCTATTTAGAGGGTTTATTTCGATAATCCTAATCGTTCACATTTTAGAATATATCAAGTGAAATATACTTGCAAAAATCAAGTTAATCGGATATCGTTTATCGATTCATCCACTCACATTTGTATCTATAAAAATAAATAATAATTGTGATTTAAAGTATTAAAATGAATACAGATGTGAGTGGATGAAAGGATTAACAATATTCGATTAACTTGATTTTTTGCAGGTATGTTTTACTTGATGTATTCTACAACAGTTCGGATTATCAAAATGGGCACAAAATGGACGCATTTTGCTGCACAATAATGACCGATGTATCCCCCACCCAGCAACCACCCCACACTCAATAGAATTTCCCTTGACTACTAAATATGTTTTCACTTCTTTTATTTTTTTTTGAGTGCGACTATATATTCATATTTATTTTTCATGGGAGAATTACATGTGAGTAGGAGAAGGAAAAATAAATTACCCATGCATGAGGGGTGCAAATCACAGTCTTTTATTTACATCTCACCATAGACACACTTGCACTCTCATATGTTAATAATTTTTTTTTTTCATTCTTCCACATGCATATAGTTCTCCCTATTTTTAATTTATAAAAAAAAATATAAAACTTATGCACTATTTGGCATCCTACAAAAGTGTTTTTTTTTTTTTATGATTAATCATTTTATCTTTTTTAAGTCACATTACTATCTATTTTTTTGGACATTTTTTTTGTAAAAAGTTAAGAGTATATTTATTTAAATCATCTCAAACATTCTCTTAATATATTGCACATCCGATAATAATTTATTTAATAAAGTATATTAGTGTACACAATATAAAGAAAACCTCTCGGGAGACTGCGAGTCTCCACATAGAGGGAATGAGATTGGTGTTGTACCTTATAGACATAGCACCGTGTTGTGAGCCCATGAAAGCATGTATTGAATTTATTTTAACATCCGAACCATTCATAATGTATAGTTCATTTATGAAAAAACTGACATCTGTAACCTACAATAAAACCACATTTATGTTTAGGAAAACAAATAGTTAGTGTAATTTTAATCATTTTTTTAGTTATTATTCGGTTTCATCATGGGGTTATACACTTGTTTGATTAATTTTATTTTTTCATACGGATAATATACTCAATGAATCCTATATTATGAACCGCCCAAATTATAAAAATATAATCGGAACAAACCTCACAAAGTGTGACAGCACGAGTGCTGTCACAACACCTACTCCCAATCTCACATAGGGAGGAAAAAAACGTCTGCTCAAGATAGACAAAATGTCCATAAAAGAAAGGAGTCTACACAAAAAGATAAAAACGAAATCAAAAATCAAAATAATCATCACCAAACAAACATTATAAGTTATCTTTATGATACTTTCATCGTCGTAACCAGTAGTTATGGTACCTTAATTTCTACCTCTTTATTACAAAATAAAACATTATGGATTTGAAATCGCCTAACGTATAAAAGCGCGATTAACGGCATCTGATCTTGGTCATGAATCAGATCTATGTGTAGATTTAAAAGCTTCTTTGACAGTAAACCAATAATGAAAATAAGAGGAGCGGTAATGGCTATTATAGTGAAGAACCAAGAAAAAATTGAGGGAGAAGAAATAGGGGAACAAGAAGGTTAAAAGCATCACCCTCTCCTCGTAAAGAGTTAAAAAAGAGATCCAGCAGCTAGGGTTTTTTTAATATGCCTCTTATAAAAATTTTCATTTCTTAAGTATTTTTTTATTTTACGTAATATGATAAATAAATTTCACTATTTATTAAATGAATTGGGTTGGAGGTTGCTATCCAGACTCGAGGGGTGCACTATGAGTCTCATTTCAATTATCTGAATTATGTATTTTATAAAGTCCTTTGTAAATTATCCATATACAAAATTAAGTTAATTTTATAATCGTAACATATTCAATTTATTGTTTTTGTCATTAAAAAAAAAAGATAATTTATTTTTAAAACACACTTTTCGTTATTTTTTTAGACACAAATGTAATAAATTAAATAAGTTATCGAGAAATTAAAATAATTATACGTATGTATGTGAGGAGAAATTAATATAATTATATTAAAATACAAGACTAATATTATTTTTTCACACCTCAAAAGTAGATAAGTGCAATTTATCCTAAATATGAGTTGCCCAAGCACTTACAGATTTGAAATAAAATAATAAAATAAACTTATGTTAAATGAGTTTTTTTTTTTTTAATATTCTAAAAAAAAAACTATTTAGAGAATTGATTCACTTTTTAAATTATTTGCGAAATTAACCTACTTTTGAAATCGCATTTTAAAAATGGAATTTTAAAATTGAAATTGCATTTTAAACATGCAATTTCACTTTGAAATCGCATGTTGAACATGCAATTTCACCATGTCATAATAAATTGCATTTTCAACTTACGATTTCAAGGTAAAATTGCATGTTGAAAATGCAATTTCAATTTCAAAAAGCAGTTTAATTTTCTAAATAGTTTGAAAAGTGAGTCAATTTTCTAAATAGTTCTCTTTTTTTTAGAAAATAAAAAAAAAAACTCTATGTTAAATAGCTTCATTTTTTTTTTTCTTTTTTTCTTTGCTATTCTGAAAAAATATGATTTTCCAAAAATACTTTTTAGAAAATTCTATTTTCTTATTTTTCGTATTTTTTTGTTTTTAATGAAATTTTTTAATAATTTAAGCATTTTTTTTTTAATTTTTAAACACACCTAACATAAATACACATAAAAGTATAATTTTTGTGAATTTTTTTAATACCAAAAATATAAAAAAATATATTAAAATTCAGTATATTTTTTTATTTTATGTATTTATAAAATTTTTAAAATATTTTTTCACAAAATTTTTACTTTACATCTGAATAAAGTACATCTAAAAAAATAAAAATAAAAAATACTTAAAATTTTAAAAATATTCACTAAAAACAAAAAATAAAATACAAAAAATAAAAAATTCAATTTTCAAAACACTTAATTCAAAAAATTCAAACCAAACATAAATATCTATTTTTTAATCATTGCACGGACTTGTAAATCAGACTGATAAGTGAGTCTCTTTTCTATTTCGAGGTTGTAGGGTTCTGTTTGGCTTTACCCATCACAAAACTTTCTTAGAACTCTTTCCAAGTATTGTACCAAACTATCAATAGGAAAATATATATGTTACATACCCATGCACTTTATAATTAAAAAAAAAAGTTATAACCAAATAATACATAAGGTGAGAGGGTAATTTTTATAAAAATTGGGCCGAGCTGGGAGATGGTCATTATGGCCCACAATACGAAGGGCTGAGTGAAAAGGCCGTAAAGTTACTCCGGCCCAAGAGAGGTACAGAATTACTCCGGTCCGAAATAAATATAATGTTACTCCGGTCCGGAAGCGACTTGGAGGCCGGTCTCAAGGTTAGTCCGATCATGGCGTATTGTGGTTAGATCGGTCAGAACCTTGCTACTCGGTAGCTCGGTCTAAACACACCATGATTTGTACATGAGAGAACCGAGATAAAGGGGCAGTAAAAGGAAGAACCGAACTAAGGATAGTTCGGCCTACTCTGCGGCTCAGCATAGCCATGATTACTTCAGTCATGTTGGAGTTCGGCCATGGTAAAAACCATCTCACTTGATTTAAGCAGTGAGGGAGGTGTTAAAGGATAAGCATTATCTTTTAGGAGTATGAATCATAGCAGGACTCTGCATGGAGGAGTAGAAGTCCTTCTAAAATTGTGCCACACGAAACCTATAAAAAGCTCACAAACATCACCTTTAGGGAGGTAACACACAACTTTGCTTTCTGAATACACAGAGCTTTTGATAATTTTCCAAAACATCTTTTGAAAAAAATCAAACCAAACAACTTTTCGTACTTTTTATCTTTAAAACTCATCTCCCAAACTCAAACCAAACATACCCAGTATAATTTTATATTTTTTTGAATTGTAACTATATAAAAAAAAAATTATAACCAAATAATACATAAGATATAATTAAAGATTTCATGGGTTATAATTAAAATAAGGTTATAACTAAATATGAGAATGATATGATTAAGGGGTACTTATAGTAAGGGGGTGTACAGTAGAATTTTCCTCACCGATATTTTATATATTTTAGGAAAAATTGTAAATAAGTGTAATAGTGAAGAAATTATGAAAAATGCTTGGGAGCACTAATTAGTGCT